TCCTTTTGGGAAGCAATTGAAGTCAATGTCCGGCATGCTTGAATGTGTTATTACATAATCTTCAGTCTGGCACAATGAAATCCTTAACTAAACAAATGCTGACATTTATCCTAAAGCGTTTTGGATTGTTGCACACTAGTCAGTCTGGCAATTGGAGGGCACGTGTTCCCTTGGTGGACAAAATGCCATCTGAACAGGCCCTTATAGATGTCAGGTGACATCTAATACTTTAGATCTAGCTAGACAGTGAAAAATGATTTGTTCTACAGTACAGAGTAATAACATTGGAGTTGTCATATTGTTTAACACTAAAGTTTTTGTAAAAAAAATGTAGGATGGTTCGTATACGAGTGGCAGCTATCACTGAACAATGACTGGTATTTAATTACCTAAAATTTGTTTTTTTACCAATATATTTCCGAATAGGGAAAATGAAATATGTACTCCCTCCATCAGCAACTGGAACAGAAAAATGATGGTGCTCACAGGTCAAATTCATTAAGATCTATGAAACACAGACAGTTTGTGGCTCTTTTTCCATAAGTTTCAAAGTCAATTGCCCAGGAAGCAATGAGAACTAGAAACATTTTGATAACTTTTGTATAATAATCTCATTTTATTTTGCAATTTGACCTCGCAGAACAGAAAAAAAGCAATTAAAAATTGGCTGCAAGCTAGAGCAAGTTTTAGAACAGGGGATCTGTATTATCATAGGCATTGTGCCAGCCAAAATTTCTAAGACTTTCAGTTTACGTGTCTGTCTAATGTCTTATCCTCACCTAATGTCATGTGGCAAAATATACAAAACAATGTGGGGACATTTCTAGATGTTTTACTCAAAAGGCTTGTTATTTATAATTTACATACTTATTACTATTTCATGAGGTTATGTAAATAAGTTAACCTGCGTTTCTTCACAAATAGAAATGGCCTAGTTTTCAGCTTATCCAGGTCATAGAAATCCTTACGAGTGCAAGCAGCGTTTCCCAGTGCATGCAAATGTTTCCCTGCATACCTCTTTGGCATACTCTCTATGGAAAATTAGGTGTCTGGCAATTCAGGATTACAGCTGCTGATTCTTGGAGTCATGGTGGTGCTGGCTCAAGTGGTTGGGGCATCTTATATAGATGGAACGCTTGTGTGGAACTGTCTCAGCTATATTTAAACAAGATGTCATTGGGACTATGAAGAACATGTTGGCGCTATAGTATCTGCCTGTTGAACTAAACCCCCTGAAATCATCTGTTAATAGGTTCAGTATGAGACCAAGCATAGAAAGCCCTTGGTTGGCTAGTTCAGCTGATACCTCTATAGATAAGCAGCAAAAAAAGAATTGGAAAGGTTAAAAGTGAGATTTTTATTTCCACAGAAGGATAATGTCAGCTTCCTTATACAACAAATCTTGCAGTGTCTCAAAACAAAAATTTTAAATTCATTCAAAACCACCGATTGGTTCTTGGAGGCTAATACCGTAAAATGTGCCTGGACAGCCACTTCAGCCAAAGGCTGAAAACCTCATCAGCCTTTGGCCAGCAATGGGAGAGAATTGGATGAGATAACAGCATACATTAACTTTGGCACAGTAGCAGCCAGTTCAAATGTTGAACCAAACATCAATATGGAATGGTAACCAAGTCCTACTCTGAGATAGGATACATGTCTCTTTCAAGCTTTGTAGAAATAAAGGCATTCCTGGATGATATGGCAGTATAAGATATCAGCAAGAAAAACCTAGTGTCTATGAAGAAATCCAGGATGGTGTACCTTCACCCATCAATGTTTTGTCACCTATGGTAATGTTTTTTAGAAATGGATGGTTTTCCATTTGACAGCTCAGAAGCTAAAACCTCACCGGCACAGGTCCACTAACCACTAACTGTCCAGTAAAATCTCTATCCTTATTCAATTTTTGTCCAATCACATGCAGAGAATGTGCATTGTTACCCTTTGTACAACATCTGCTAGGATCACCCGTTAGATGCTCCAAAATGCATAGGACATTCTAATGCTAGTCATTTATTGAATGTTCCGTGAGGATTGTGGTTAAGCAGCAACTTATACGGCATCTAGAATCCTCCTTCTCTTCATCAGGTCATTCTCTGGGACATAATCACAAGTCTAAGAGTGGTCATGTCAGGAAGAAAAGAGACGAGAACTATGGGGTTAAGGCTTTTCCCCATAGTTCCCCTTAGGGTAACGGGAGGACACAAACTAGCGTCCTCCCGTCACCCTAGGCTCAGTATACCGCGAGCCGTAGCTCGCGGTATACTGAGACGCTGCAGCTGAAGCGGATCCCGACAATTATGCCGGGATCAGCCCAGCTGCGTGACTGACAGCTGGCTCTGCCTATCTAGAGGCAGAGCCAGCTGTACCTGCCCCGTCCAGTCAGCGCTGGCGGATCGGGGAGGGGGGAATCCAGCCCCTCCCCTGTTACAGCAGAGAGCCGTGACAGGATCGAGAGGTGAGCGAACGCCGGTATGTGTTTGCTCACCTCCCGATCTACTGATCCGACCTGTGACAGTCTCATTGTCACAGGTCGGCTTAGAACTATGAGGTGAGTGAAAAGCACTCACCTCATAGTTCTCCTTTAACCCTGATAAAATCTGTCACGTCTTCTTCCTAATCCACCTTAAACATTAAAAGCTTTTCTCCTTCTTTCTCCAAATTAAACCATTTGTGTGATGCTGCTTACTTCTGAAGTGTGGAACAAATTGTTACTTTATCTCTATATGGTTAGATTGTCAAAAGAAGCTGGTTACATTGCTTGGTAAATGGCTAGTCTTAGTTCAAGCTTTAAAACATGGCTACCGTACCAATGTGGGTTCAACTGAACACTAGAAATTACATTAGTATTAAACCCTCATCAATAAAGTTCAGGTGTCCCTTCAGATCACTTTCAAATATTTTTTAAAAAAAAGCTTTCTTACCTTTCTGAAACTTGACAGCTGCTGTCTCCCTATCCCAGCATTTCCCTGAATTTCTGGCTGTGGAGTGCACACTATATTATCGGTTGACCCCCCTGACGTAGGGACTCCCATGTTTCCTTGACTTGTGTTTCTCCTATAGTGCCATGTGCTCTCTGTTTAACACCCACTGGACATAGGGAGCCTTCTTAGTAACTATATGCCTGCTCTGGCCACCAAAAATATTGACAGCAGCATTGGAAAATGCTGACAAAGGTTAATTGAAAAAAAATTAAAAAAAATTATATGACTCAAAATTAAAAAAAAACTTTTTCTGCTGATCCCTCTTCCATCACATTCCTGAAGTGGAGAACCAGCAGAAAGTGAGAAGGATTTTTTTTTTTTTACAATAAACTTTATTTGCCAGCTTTTTCAGAGCTGCTGTCAATCTAAGAACTGGTGATGGGTGTAGCCATCTGGTTACTGAAGAGGTGGCCTGTACCTAGAGCTGGTGGACGTGCAGCTGTAGTCCTGGCTGGGAGCATGCATAGTCATCCATCAGACGAAGTGTAGTTTGCAAGAGATCCGAGTTCCCATTCTTCTGAACAGATGGCTCTGAGAAGGAAATCAGTCGACGTTTCTGAAAGCCTGTGATGCTACCACATAATATTTATTATTTTATAGGTTTATTAACACTTTACGAGAATAATATGACTGGGACATGTGCACAAACGTTCTCTTTATAAAGAAAACTGTCAGAACATTCGTTACTTAGCTTAACCAAAGCCGGTCTCCAGATTTAAAAGCATGCAGGGCAAAGTAACAGGTTCACTTTAATCCTCCCCAGCAGCACATATACGCCTTTCCTTCACTCTCCTTGCACTCCATTCAGCTCCACAGATCAAAAGGAAATGCCCAGTACTTCTATGTATGCAGCAACATGTGACAACGCTAGGACAATCACTAACAGGGAAATCCCCAGGCTGGGTGTCACCTGCTGGGACATGATCACGCACGCATGTAGTGACTTCACGGGCACTTAACTGCCGGCTGCTAACTCCGTGATGGATACAAGCAGAGAGAAGAGGAGACTTCACCCATACCTTATCCCACCAGGTCCCCACCTATCCTACAGCTGTCGGGCACTCGGACCAGGACTGGGTGCTCCACTTTTCAGAGGGGATGAGACCAAAATGACTGAGTCCTGGCCAAAAAGATGCAGGAGAGTGAAGGACATGGGAGTATGTGCTGCTCAGGAGGTGGAACATGAAAATAAACCCGCTGCTTTGACTGAATTTCCAACTGCAACCAAAGCACTCTTGTTTAGTGTACGTAATGGTTAGAATACATAAAGGATAATGCACATAAAAGGTAAGAACCACAGTCAGCTGCCTCTGTGCCTATAGAGGACATTTTTCTTCTCAGAGTTGTAACAATTATCCTCTAGACAGGAAGTGAGGACATTTCCCTCAAGACAATTTATTATTGCTGATTACATTCCTGTTGAAGGGATTTCCCCACAATTTCTATTTGCACATTCACCAAATAAACAGGAAGTGGCGATATTTTCCCTCACCTCCTTTGCGGTCACATATACACAGAGGGATGGTGAATATCCCAAATGGGGACACACAGAGCAGCAGTGGCACAGTTTTGATGTCATATAAGGTCAGTCACCAGCACAGTACAGAAGCCTTGGCAGCACCAGATAAATAAGGTTATCTTTAATAAAGAAAAAAAAAAAAACCTCAGAGCATCCAATTCTATTTTTGAAAAAGAAATGAGCTGTCTTTTTGAGCTGTATCGTCCATGTACATGAACACTAATTTGACTTTCTGCATGTGGGCACTCCTACTGTTCATCATGCATTACTAGACACATCACATGATTTGCTGCCATAATGCAGTGCTTTCCCTACTGTGATCCTACAGGGAATGTCAATTAGCATAATGTAGTAGGGGGAGGACACAGACACATATCATTAGGGGTATCAGGTAGTCATTTTGCATATTAACTGCTCTGTCATAGCCAGCAAAATAGGCAAAGTGTTCATTTAACAAAACTCGTCATTCTTTAAAACAACACCTTGCTTTTTAATTAGACCAAAGTTTAAAAAATCTTCTAAACATTTCTCACCTACATCTCACTGCATAATACATATAAAACAAAGGCCCCTTCCAATAATGATGGGTATTGTCCTCAACCTGCTACAGAAGCCCGGTGTTACTTGAAATAGTCAGATCTTCATAAAACAAATGTTACAATGAGTTACAGTTCTGAAGCATTTTTTTTTTCACAAAACAATGTTGTGATGAGATATACAAATACATTTTAATCCATTTATGTATCAAACGACAGACTTAGAAAATTATTTCAAGTATCTTTTGTAATCACAGTGAAAATGTAAGACCAAAATGTTAATGACAAACTTTCCAAGATGAAAAAAAGCATACGTACCAAATTAAAAATCACAAAAAAATGCTTCAACGCATTTCCTTCATGTATTATGAATAGAAAGATTATCTTTAAAAAGTTATAAAAATTAAAATAAATTACATATTTAAGTACACTTTCCCTTCAAAGTGTTCTATAAAAATTCAGAACAGTGTACGATCTTTTCAATCCTCACGTGGAAATAAACGACACAAGGAACCCTAGGTCTCCATTCTGTAGGCGCTCCCGTTGTGTAGTGTCTATATTATTGGTTGAAATCTATAGCTCAAGAAGTCAGTAGACCCAGCTAATTGGAACCCATTGCTGCTCCACTCGTAACTTCTCAGCCGCTGCCTGGAGCTTTTCAAAGGCCTTGTCTAAGTTGTCATTTACAACGGTGAGGTCAAAGTAATGGTTGTAGGCTCTCATAACCCGAGCACTCTCATCAACTGTCTTCTTCAGATCTGTATCCTAAAAAACAGAAGAACAAACTGAAGTGTTACATGCGTACATAAACCTGCACCTGAGCCAAAAGAGGGCCCAAGTGACTACAGTTGCTCAATTAACAAAATTTTAACCAAAAAAGTATATTCCTCATTTTCACAGCTCTTGCTATGAAAGATTTTTTTTTAAATATGTGGTGGTTAAACCTCTTTTCTTCCAGATACAAAGAGTACCCCCTTGTCCTTTGGCGTTACCTTAACAACTTTGCACCAAGTTACTATATTGCCCATATACAGTCATGCATAAAAAGTACACCCTCTTTGAAATCTATGGTTTTAAGTATCAGGCCATAATAAAAAAAAATCTGGTGTGTAACTGGTTTTAAAATTAGGTAAATACAACCTCTGATGAATAACACATGAAATATTACATAGTGTTAATATTTATTTTACAAAAAGCCAAAATTGAGAAGTTATGTGTAAAAAAACTAAGTACACCCGCACTACAGTCATAGGAATTAAGAGGCTAAGTAGCAGCCAGGTGCTGCTAATCAAATGCTATTGATTAATTGGATTATCAGCAAGTGTGACCACCTCTATAAAAGCAGAAGTTTTAGCAGTTTTGCCGGTCTGGAGCATTCAGGTGTGTGTGCGCTAACATAATGCCAAGGAGGAAAGACATCAGCATTGCTCTTAGAAAAGCAATTGTTGCTGCCCATCAATCAGGCAAGTGTTATAAGGTAATTACCAAACAATTTAAAGTCATTCTACAATGAGGATGATTATTCGCAAGTGGGAAACATTCAAGACAGTTGCCAATCTACCCAGGAGGGGACGCAAATTCACCCCCCAAGGTCAGAGCGTGCAACGCTCAAAGAAATTGCAAAACCCCCAAGAGAGTTACATCTCAGACTCTACAGCCCTCAGTTAGCATGTTAAATGGTAAACCTCATGGCAGTACAATGGGAAAAAGACTGAACAAGTATGGTTGTTTGGAAGGGTTGCCAGGAGAAAGCCTCTTCTCTCTAAAAAGAACATGGCAGCACAGTTTAGGTTTGCAAAGTTGAATCTGAACAAACCACAAGACTTCTGGAACAATTTCCTTTGGACAGACGAGGCCAAAGTGGAGATGTTCGGCCATAATGCACAGCGATACATTTAAGAACCAAACACATGATATTTAAACACAAACATCTCATACTAGCTGTGAAGCACGGTGGAGGAGGGTGATGATTGGGGCTTGTTTTGCAGCCACAGGGCCTCAGTAAGATGCAGTCATTGAGTCAACCATGAACTCCTCTCTATACCAAAGTATTCTAGAGTAAAATGTAGGGCCATCTGTCTGACAGCTGAAGTTTGGCCAAAAATTGGTCATGCAACAGGACAATGATCCCAAGCCCACCAGCAAATCTACAACGGAAAGGCTGAAAGAAAAGAATGAAGGTGTTGCAAAGGCCCAGCCAAAGTCCACACATCAAACGATTGAAATGCTGTGGTGGGACCTTAAGAGAGCTGTGCATAAACAAATGACCACAAACCTCAATGAACTGAAGCAATGTTGTGAAGAGTGGGCCAAAGTTCCTCCACCACAACGTGAGAGACGGATAGTCATACAGAAAATGATTATGCCAAGGTAAGGTGGTTCTACAAGCTACTGAATCAAAGCGTACTTCGTTTTTCATACATAACTTCTCAGTTTTATCTTTATGTTTGTAAAATAAATAATGACACGGTGTAATAGGTGTTGCTGTTCATCAGAGGTTGTAGTTGCCTAATTTTAAGACTTGCCAAGGACCAGATAATTTTTATTATGTCCTGATACTTAGAACGTACACCCTCTTTGAATGCTATGGTTTTTTACCCCCACACGACTGTATATTGCAGCTTAGCAGTGCTTAGCTGATCCATAAAAGTAGCTAGTAACATTGTATATAGAGTCTATAAGTAATCTGGCACCACACCCCTAATATCCAATATGTACTATACAACAATTTTGAGTGGGGGCTTTAAGGGACCCATTCACACCAGTTGCAGTGCGTTCCGGCCGGCTCACTTTTAAGTGGGGCAGGAGGGGGCATGGAGGGCCATTGAAGTGAATGGCACTGTAGCCACGCCCTGCGACCACAATGCGATCGCAAGGCACATTGTGCCTGCGGTCCGGTGCGATCAAAATGCTGCAAGACTTAGCTATGAATGGAACAAACAGTCACTTGCCAGGCTGTGATAGCAGTAAAAACTAAATTTCTCTATAAGAGTCCAGCACCAACTTAGATCCACTTTAAAATAAATAAAAATTGAAACAAAATCTTAATGTTACTTACTTTGTTTTTTTTAAAAGAGCCTTTACTTTCTCTTTCCCAGATACGAAAGAGAGAGAAAAGTGCTGTTTCAGTAAAATGTACTAGGGAAAACATTTGCTACATATCTTTTTCAGATGCGGAGGTTATTTGGGGACAATACTGGGCACAAGGCACAAAAGCCTGCAATGTCACATTGTCAGAGTAATTGCACTAAGACCCTAAATCACAGTTTAATACAAATAAATTGCTCACATCACTCACTTAATTTTTATCAAAGGACACAAAGGAGAGAGCTATGAAATGAGCTAAATATCTTGTCACCGCGCTCGTCGCAGCCAAACTCAGCGACTGCACAATGTTTGAGCAATAACTGCATTAGTGCTTTCTACGTAACACTATCTGTGGATTAGTTTGGCTCACGCTCTCCCTTATATATTATACATGTGCAATTTAATTGGGTAAAAGCAAATGTGGAATCAACTCAATATAATCTGATGATCTGCCTCCAAAACATTTTTTGGCAGGTATTAAACATTTTTCGTTTAACCCCTGTGCTGGAATCTAGCAAGCTTGGCAACTGATCAAATGACTTAATTCTTACATAAAACACACAAATCGCTTGCATCTGCCATAGACATAGTACTGCTTTGTAATGAGGCCGAAACAAAGGGCAATCAGTGATCTGTTGATGGTTACCAGAGCGTGTATATAATCAGCAGGCCAATAATTAAAAGAGCAATCAATGACTTACAGTGAGAAGCTTTGTCGTGATTCCAGCATCCACCACGGCTTTGTGCATGGCACGCAATGTCTCTAACTCTGGAGCAGCGATGAACACTACATATGGCATAAACTCAGAAGTCCGCAGTACTTTTAATGCCTGAAGAGAAAAAAAAAAAGACAGCCGATCAGAGCATTGTTGCTGGGCATACGGCAAATTTCAAGCGATTTCAAATCATGTCAACCAATTTCCGTTCACAAAAAAACATAAAGAGGGCTCAGAGCATCTTATCACCAACAGTTTATGTATTTATATCTCTATGCCATAGATGCTGCCAGGTTGCCACGATCTATTCAATCATTTTTACAATCGAAAGCAAGTTAAAAACAACCTTGTGATTGGCCAGCTTAAAGTAAAATATACCCCAGTGGTTGACAGAAACCGGGATACAACAAAGACTTAAAATGCTCAATGCAAACAAAGCAGTGGGTCCGGATAACCTGCACCCCAAGGTACTTAAGGAATTAAGCCAGGTTATAACTAGACCATTAATCCTCATTTTTAAGGACTCCTTAATGACTGGTAGGATCCCCAGTGACTGGCGGAGGGCTACGGTAGTCCCAATATTCAAAAAGGGGGCAAGGTGACACTTAAGTGCATTTGAGTTGTGTGCTCCTATTCACACAGCATACAAAAAAGTTATTTAAAAAAAAAAAATTATATTTCTCATCTTTTAGATGTTTTGTTGCAGCAGGCAATGTGGGTGAATCCAGGTCTTTCTGAGCACCTTCACAGTGATCTGCCCTCAGGGCTTGTTCACGCCACAAACAGTACGTTCCAGAGCAGTCAGCCTCTGGAACGCACTTTATTGCAACCTGGCTGGCTCCCTGCGTTCAGGGGCTGGATGGGGCGTGGCAGTGCATTGAAGTCAATGGCACCGCAGCCCCCCGCCCACATTAACGCCTGCGTTTTGGTCCAGCGCAATCTGCAATAATGCTGCAAGCACTATTTTTGTAGAAGGAGAAATAAGTAGAAATTTGAATCCCTAAGAGGCCAAGAAACCCTAGCCCAAGTAAAAGCGATTTAAACTGCAAGAAGTATTTTTAAATTCTTTCTATCTTATGCTATGTGAATGGGGACATGTGACAAATATAAAATAAGTGTTATACTAATCTGACTGTGAAAGTGGAAATACACTTTAAAAAGGAGAACTATGAGGTGAGTGAAAATCACTCAGCCTCATAGTTCGAGGCGACCTGTGACAATGAACTGTCACGTCGGCTCAGTAGATCGGGAAGTGAGCGAACACATACTGTCGCTCGCTCACTTCATGATCATCTCCCTGCAGGGATCCCCCCCCCGCTCCAATCCTCCAGCGCTGACTGGAGGAACGGATGGGGCGGGTACAGCTGGCTCTGCCTCTAGATAGGGAGAGCCCGGTGTCACTCACGCAGCTGGGTGGATCGCGACAGTAATGCCGGGATCTGTCCCGGCTGCGGCGGTCTCAGTATATCATGAGCTGTAGCTTGCAATATACTGAGCTTTAGGTCACTAGGGGACACTAGTATATGTCCTCCCGTGACCATTTAAGAAACTATGGGGAAAAACACTTACCCCATAGTTCTCTTTTAAGGTCTAGAAGGAAAGAGTAAAGGAAAAACTAAACACTTGTATGTAATGGTATAACATTTAATCCAGCAAGCTTTTCTTATTCTGCTTTATGGTCAATGATCAAATGGAGGGCTGGGTACAAACAAATTCTTCCACGGTCAGGTCCTGACAAGCAAAATAACCCATTTCCCATAGCAAAGAATGTAAAAGTGCTACCAGGTTACGTTCAGATTTGAACAGTGCCGTACTCTTCCATGAGAACACAATAGTTGTTCTTCAGTTCCGTCTGTTCTATAAAGAATAAGCAACCACTCCAGGTCAGTCTGTACTTCAGCCCCAGAACATCCACTCCAGTAATGATCTGCTTTATTCCCAGCTAAGTAGTATGCAGAACTTGAAGGACAAAGGCACTCTGGTGTACACTGAGTAGCTCCTTTATTGGAACAGTGATGTAAACACAGGGATGAAGGAAACCTGCGTTTCTTTTTGCTTTTTCAAAGAACCTCATGAAGACTTGCCAAATGCAGTGCGAGATGCATAAGTTTAATGTGTTCCCATCTTTAGTGCACCTTTCTAAGAAAGAAAAATGTAACATATACACCAAAGTGCCATAGTCCTTCAAACAAGAACCTCGGACATAATCATTCTTAACCATTGCAGTGGGGCTACCCCTACACTGCAAGGGTAAATTGCTTATTCTTGTCTACGGATGAAAATAAAAACGTTATACTCCTCAACCTCAAAGACAGCTGCAGCCTCTGCTGCCTCTCTCTCCCCTCCACGGTCTTCAGTGGAGTGGTCTAAGGTCCTGTGAGTCATCATGTCCTATATAGTGTATTGGACATGAGGACGCCGATGAGCATTCCAACACTGGAGTGGAGGAGGAGGCAGTCAGCAGGCTGTGAGGTTCAGGCGGGTATAACTTCTTTATTTTTGTGCCTAAAAACACACACT